CTTTGTTACGATTCTTGTTGGTCGGAGCGATTTGTCCCTTGACAAACTTTTCTCGAGTGGTGATGTCAAACAGGTTGAAGTGATGCTCATTGATCACTATAAGCCTGCGTATACCGCCGATCTGAAGCTCTGCGAGCAGCTCGGCAAGATCGTGCCCGGGGTTTCAGTAGTGGTGGCGGACAACGTGCTCTACCCCGGCAACCCGCCGTATTTGGAGTATGTCCGCAGCACAGTGGAGCAGAAGCGTGAAGCGGCCAAAAAGGGACCGGTCCAGGCATATGACACGACCAACTTGGCACAGCGATCAGTCGGGTCATTCATGCCTGCGGATGCAACTCCCAGCTTTGAGCTAACGGGCAACCCGAATTTGGTGTATGACAGCAAATTGGTCAAACCCGAGACCACACGAGTGAGTTTCACCCGTATGTCCGGAGAGTGGTAGGCATTTCACTGACATGCAAATTCTGTAGGACGCGATCGAGGTGAGCCGATGTGTGGGGATCCAAGAATGAAAGGGTCCCAAGGATAGAAGTTGAGAGATTTTTTTTTTTTTTTTCATGGCTATTTGCAAAGGCTGGACCGAGTGGCCTCATCGTCATCAAGCATCGGCGAGAGAGCGCAGAATGAATTCCGAAAGTGAGAAAGTGAGAGTGACGCATTGAGACATCGGCTTTTGCCGCGTGCCCCGCCCGACCCAAAGGTTGCCGTCGCCAGGACCTTCCCCCGCGCCAGCAGTCAAAATGGCCACTTAGTTGCTATGGGGGAAAAAAGAGGCGGGTTTGCTTCATTTGTAATCCTTAGACGATATCCATAGCGTATATAAGCAGAGAATTCCCCCCCGTTTTCCGTTGTCCCATTGTTCATTGTCCTCGCTATCCTCTCCAAGATATACCCCCACCCCATTGCAAGTAACACCACCCATCATGGCTTCAAAGACCTGGAACGTCGGAATTGTGGGTTATGGCTTCAGTGCCAAGACATTCCACATTCCCTTCATTCAGGAAGTCCCTCAATTCAAGATCACAGCTGTTGTGCAGCGCACCCCCAAGCCCGATGACGATGCCGAGAAGGACCACCCCGGAATCAAGTCCTACAGGACCACCGAGGAGATGGTCAAGGATGAGGGTGTGCAGGTGGTGGTCATCACCACCGCTCCCGATTCGCATTACGCCTTGGCCAAGCTGGCCCTCGAAAATGGAAAGCACGGTAAGCTTCCAGACAGCCACTTGTAGTAGTTAATTCCGTATGAGTGCTGACATTTTCTTGCGACAGTTGTCTGCGAGAAGCCCTTCACCCCCACCACTCAGGAAGCCGATGAGCTGGTTGCTCTGGCCAAGAAGCAGAACAAGCTCCTGGCCGTGTACCAAAGTACGTCTCCTTTACCCAGTCGCCAATTCGGAAGAACATGGTCTGATAACAATATTTGGTAGATCGCCGGTGGGATGCCGATTTCGTGACCCTGTCGAAGCTCGTGAAGAATGGCTCTCTTGGTCGTGTGGTGGAGTTCGAGACTCACTTCGACCGTCATCGTCCCCAGGAGCCCTCCCCCGATGTTTCCAAGTGGAAGAACAAGGTCATCCCCGGTGGTAGCGCCATCTATGACTTGGGCGCCCACCTCTTGGACCAGGCCGTGCACCTGCTTGGCAAGCCGGAGCGCGTGACTGGATTCATTGGTTCCCAGCGCGAGGTCAACACTTCTGGTTTCGAGGACTCTTTCACTGTTCTGCTCCACTACCCCAAGGGTGTGCTTGTCACGGCCAAGGCCGGTGTTGTCAGCCCGGAAGAGGAGCAACTGCGCTTCTGGGTTCGGGGTGAGAAGGGTAGCTTCAAGAAGGTGAGTCAACGGCCTTTCACTCTAGATGTCGATTGGTAACGGAATACTGATACCTATACGTTACACAGTTCCACCTTGATGTCCAGGAAGAGCAGCTCAAGTCTGGTGTGAAGCCAGGTGACAGCGGTTATGGCCGTGAGCCCTCTGAGAGATACGGTAAGCCACAGAACATACCTTTTGATACGAGGCAACATGCTGACAGTCTGCTAGGTACTCTCACGACCATTCAGGATGACAAGCCTGTCAAGGAAGTCATGCCCACTGTAGAGCCTCCGACCTGGACGGAATATTACCGGAAGCTGGCGCGGGCTCTTGGTGGAGAGGGCGATCTCCCAGCCAGCGGAGCCGAGGCTCGTGAAGTAATTCGACTGATTGAGTTGGCCCAGGAGAGCTCGAAGCAGGGAAAGACCCTGGATGTTTAAATTTCGCATAAATAGTGTGCCTATCACGGGTCATGATTTAATGATGGATAGAATTGATTTTGTATTGTACAAGTGACAGTGTGAAGCCTTCAGCCACTGATTCTCTTAGGAGGAATAGATGCCGCAGTGATCCTCAGTGTTACTAAATATCACTCCGTAGCGTGCTCCACCTGCTGTAGGCGAGTTCTCGATTATTGTACAGAGGGACTACTCCAAGGATAGACATCCCTATACAGTCTGGTCTCAACAGTGTCTCCAATTCCCCCTCATTTCCCCTCACGAAAGGTTTCACGAGGAAAGGCGCGAGGGTTCGCCGGCGCCATGTTTTTGGGGACCCCAGATTGATCGACGATTACTCAAGTCTGGGCGGGAATGAGGTATGTTACGCTGTCTGAAATCCCGATACCACTACGAGCCTATGAAACATGGGTGATTTGAGGCAAAAGACAAGTCGACTCGGGTAACAGTCGGCGTAATATTACAGACCAGTGACCTCATCGGCAGCTGCCCCGACGCTAAACTGAAACCGGAGTTTCCATTACCCAACGCGAATATCATGAGTGGCAGAAAGATCCCTTGGACCAGCCAGCAAAAGGGCCTCTGTCCCTCTCTTTCCAGGGCATCAATGGTCATCTCCAACTCAGCACTGCATTCTCGCCTTCTGACTACCCGCTTCCGCGGAGATCCTCATGGTTACAATGTAGGAGACCTCGTTTTGCGTGCCGACTTTTCCAGCTCTCCTCAGTGCTGGCCGGATGGGCCCATCCTAGTATTTTAATCTAGAGGAACCCCATAATGGCCTTGTCCACTCGCTCTTCGTCTGTTTCAAACCTCCAATGGGATTCCTCGGTTTATATTTAGCTTCTCTGTCAACTCCTGTCAATCCACGTAGTCCAAGGTAGGTTTTTGTCCTCGCGGCCCCCCCTGACATGGACCCGTCGGGACTCCATTTAATCAAACTGATGCCTGGTCGCTTGATGGGTGTCAATGCATGGCCATAGGCCAAAATTTGCGTCTGTCATTTCTCCTCGAATGTGTGTGCTTGGCTGCCTCTTCATTCGTGGTGTTTTCCGTCTTCAATGGCCTGCTTCTCCATGTTTGACGGCTGTGTCTGATTTTATATACGATAGGGTGGCGAGCCGTGTTGCGTGCTTTAAGACTGTCCGGGCTGGTTACCGACAGTGCTGAAGGATGAGGGCGCAGAAATCTCAGTCAGAGTCTATGCTCCAGCGCATCGACTTCTCTCGACTACATGTGGACATCGATGCCTTCCTCAATCCATATCTGCCGCCTCCACCGTGGCGCCATCTGCCCCGGCCGATCTCTCGGTTCTTCGGGTACAGGAAGACTCTCGCGCCAAAACCCCTGGGGAATCTTGTGATCGCCTTCTGGTCTTTGATCGGGGTCTTCTGTGGTGTGCTCGTAGTAGCGGAGGTGTCTGAGCATGTTCCATCATTCGAAGCTCACCATGCCCCAATCATCGTCGCCAGTTTTGTACGTACCTCTTGAGACCCCAGACTCCACCATTGCTTTTCAATATCGACTAACCACCTCATAGGGTGCTGCTGCTGTCTTGGAATTCTCCGCCATCGAATCACCCTTTGCCCAACCCCGAAATGCCGTCCTGAGTCAGATTATTGCCAGTTTTGTCGGCGTTGTGATCGGCAAGCTCTTCGCGCTGAACGAGAATGCCCACTCTATGCCGCAAGTCGGCGGCGCTCTGGCGTGTGCCATCACGACGGCCATAATGACAATCACAAATACGATCCATCCCCCTGCCGGCGCCACCGCCCTTCTTGCCGTCACGCAATCCTATGATGTGGGATGGTACTTAATCCTAATTATGCTGCTGGGCTGTGTGCTTATGCAGGCGGTGGCCTTGTTGATCAACAACATTCAGCGTCGCTTCCCTATCTACTGGTGGACGCCGCAGTCTTTAGAACGGCCCAAGCCTGATGATACCGAAAGCGCCCGGGAGGCCAAAGAGGGAAGTGTTGCATCCATTCAATCCCACGATACCTTTCCCGGCGTTCCGACCCATATTGTTATTGAAAAGGGGAGTGTCATGTTACCAGATAACATCACGGTTACGGAGCAGGAGATGGCAGTGTTGAAAAGAATTAGCGAACGATTATAGGCATACATAATATTAGAGAGATCGGAAGTTGCCTGGCCTGAAACAAAAAAGCCCGGAAGAAGGCTTCCGACCGATTAATAACAGCTATTCATGTCGTGCAACAGAGAATGAAAGACTAAGTTTGGGATGTTTGTAGATGAGGCTGAAAGTAGGTTGGCTGGACATGGCCAATTAGTAGTACTACTATGCGCGACAGAGTCTCCAGCCAATTACGAATCGAGTCGAATACGGGGATTCACGATGGCTATTTTGTTTGCTTCTTTACGACTTACTGCTGGGCATAGTTTATATATATCGCAACGGTGTCATGTTGTAGACTACTATTTCCGTTGCGTTGGTTAATCCCGTATATTGGAATGATTCATAGTTGCTCATCTTCTATAACTGAACTATCTGGTGGAGTACTGCTTGCTGACCATTATCTTGGCCTGCCTTGGGCGCAAGGCTCTGAAGCACGTGACTGTGGATGCCCAATGCGGCAAGCGTGCGCCACGTCCCGTGCAGTGACGTCGTGCAGCCAATCAGCGCGAGGCTCAGCCGCCCACTGAAGGAATTTTCGAGGCAAAAAACAACCATCCATTCATCGATTCTTCGTTGTCGATTCTTCTGTTCCTTCAACTTCATCGGGATTCTCCCTTGTGTGTTGAGTCTGAGTAGTATATCTGCTCGTATATATCAATCCATCTTTGATTCTTTTGTGCCCCTTCGAGATCCTCATTATTTTGTGAGAGCGATCTCATTCGATCACTTGTCTTCTTCACTTTTTGCCTGGCCAGCCTATCGATAAGGGCTATCCAAGGAACCACCCCCCACTCACAAGAAGACTTTCGGTCGCCCCCTCCCACTCCCCGCTATTACTGGTCCACCTTTCGCTCAGGTTCTTTTTTTCCCTTTTCTCTCTCGCCTTCATCGGACAGCTTTTATCTAGGCTTCCTGACCGTCCCTTCCTCTTCCCTTTCCGCCTTACCTACCCACCACCACCTCCCCCCTCCTCCTCTCCTCTCTCCTCTCCTCCCATCAACCACTCGCTTATTCGACAAGATGGTGTCTGCCTCCAAAGCCGCTCGTTTGGCAAAGCGTGCCGCCGATGGCGCCGACAAGAAGAAGCCCACCAAGGGCAAGAAGGACGACCCCGTCGTCGACGGTGAGGGCGGCGATGACCAGCCTGCCACCACCGATGAAAAGATGAAGGAGGTCGAGAAGTTGACTGCTCAGATGGACAAGCACGGTCTCTCCGATCGTGTCACGACCGGTGTCCTTGCTTCTCTGCCCTCCTCCCGCGACGTCAAGGTCACTTCCGCCTCCCTGGTGTTCCACGGAAAGGTTCTTATCACCGACTCGACTCTCGAACTGAACTTCGGTCGTCGTTATGGTCTCCTCGGTGAGAACGGCTGCGGAAAGTCTACTATCCTCAAGTCCATCGCCACCCGCGAATACCCCATCCCCGAGCACATTGATATCTACCTTCTGAACGAGGGTGCTCCTCCCAGTGAGCTCGGTGCCCTTGAGTGGGTTGTCACCGAGGCCCAGAACCAGCTCGAACGAATGGAGAAGCAGGCTGAAGAAATTCTTGAGAAGGAGGGTCCTGACTCTCCTATCCTCGAGGATCTGTACGACGTGAGTTTTCCCCTCTCCACCTCTTCATCCCTCTTTGCTCAGTTCTAACCTCTTCTGCAGCGTATGGACAAGATGGATCCCTCGACCTTCCACACCCGTGCCTCCCTGATCTTGACCGGTCTGGGTTTCAACAAGCAAACCATCCACAAGAAGACCAAGGACATGTCTGGTGGTTGGCGTATGCGTGTGGCCCTTGCCAAGGCCCTCTTCGTCAAGCCCTCTCTGCTTCTGCTCGACGACCCCACTGCTCACTTGGATCTCGAGGCCTGTGTGTGGTTGGAAGAATACCTCAAGAAGTGGGAGCGTACCCTGATCCTCGTCTCCCACTCCATGGATTTCCTCAACGGTGTTTGCACCAACATGATCGACATGCGCATGAAGCAGCTCCTCTACTACGGTGGTAACTACGACTCCTACCACAAGACTCGTGCCGAACAGGAGACGAACCAGATGAAAGCCTACAACAAGCAGCAGGAAGAAATTGCTCACATCAAGAAGTTCATTGCTTCCGCCGGTACCTACGCCAACTTGGTCAGACAGGCCAAGTCCCGTCAGAAGATCCTGGACAAGATGGAGGCCGATGGTTTCATCCAGCCCGTCATCCCCGACAGAGTCTTCAGCTTCCGCTTCGCCGATGTCGAGAAGCTTCCTCCTCCCGTCCTGTCCTTCGATGACGTCTCTTTCTCCTACTCTGGCAAGTGGGAGGACACCCTGTACGAGCACCTCGACTTCGGTGTCGACATGGACTCCCGCACAGCCCTTGTCGGACCCAACGGTGTCGGAAAGTCCACTTTGCTGCGCATCATGACCGGCAAGCTGAGCCCCATCGGTGGTCGTGTCTCCCGTCACACTCACTTGAAGCTGGGCATGTACAGTCAGCACTCTGCTGAGCAGCTGGATCTGACCAAGTCTGCCCTCGAGTTTGTCCGTGACAAGTTCCCCGAGAAGTCTCAGGACTACCAGTACTGGCGTCAGCAGCTGGGCCGTTACGGTCTCAGCGGTGAGTCCCAGACTGCCCTCATGGGTACTCTGTCCGAGGGTCAGAAGTCTCGTATCGTCTTCGCCCTGTTGGCTATCGAGTCGCCTAACATGATCCTGCTGGACGAGCCTACCAACGGTCTGGATATCCCCACCATTGACAGTTTGGCCGATGCCATCAACGCTTTCAGCGGTGGTGTTGTCGTCGTGTCCCACGACTTCCGTCTCCTTGACAAGATCGCCAAGGACATCATGGTCTGCGAGAACAAGACCGTCACCCGCTGGAACGGTACTATCGGCGAGTACAAGAACCACCTCCGCAAGAAGATGATTTCCGAGGGTGCTGTCTAAAGTACAAACCACTGAAAAAGAAGGAAGAAGTGATTAATCTTCTTGTTTATGATTGGAATGTTCGAGACGACACACACATGCAAATATAAAAAAGGCTTGTAAGGGGAAGGAAAAAAGTTTCTCTTTACCGTTACAGGAGAGATGAACCATCCTGATGAATGACATTCGCGCGGAAGGTTATCCGTTTTTTCTACTATTTTTCCCTTTTTTTCAAATACCTGGAGATATCTTTGCTCATTACTACTACTACACATTTGGGTGCTTTGTTTTAGATGGTCTGTGTTTCATCTTTTCATACCTTCATCGTCTCTCCCCCACACCTAACTAGACTTGAGCGTTTGAGGGTTTCAATTTGATATTATTCCCTTGCTATACTACTTTCAGAGTTACGTAGACATATATAGCCATGTAGGATGTTTCCCTCGTATCACAACTACAAGTATCTATACCTGAACTACATAGATTTCCGAGCCCAATGGTGGTTGTATACTTTGGCAACTATACTAGTAGTAGTGGTAGTAGTAGTATTATTTATATAAGGCTGGATGATTAGTGCTACGAGAGGTCGACTTACTAATTAGTATCCCCCATGTTCAAATATAGGGTACTACGGATAGCAGCAAAGCAACACTTACACAATCCAAATCCCACCTTCTAATAATGAAGAAGATCAATAGTAACATGCATGCTTTTCCCATCTATTGCGCCTATCTGCACGCTCAAAACAACAAATTCACCAACGTCGTCGTCGCCCCAAAATTGCTAACCATAATAACAAATATAGTATAGGAATTATAATTTGAACCATAAGGTTCATTATTACTGCTATTGCTGCTATTGCTGCTGATCACCCTCCATCTGCCTCTCCTTCGTCCTTTGTGTGACTAGTTCCCCTCCGAAGAGATCTTTCGTCTCACTTCCCCGTTCTAGTTTCCTTTTCTTCGCTAGACGCTCCATTTCGCTTTCTGATGTTCCTGACTCGCCTGCTGCAGCTGCAGCAGCAGCTGCCGCTGCGGCAGCGGCAGGGATGCGCTTCTGGCCTGCGATATTGGCCTTCTCTGGGTTCTGGCAATGGTAGAGTTTCTTGCCGACGATGCGTTTCAGGGTCTTCATGCGGGCTTCGTCCGACGCGAAGGGTTTGTATGCTTGGAGGAGGGCGGAGCAGTTTGCGAGGGTGGTGAGGAGTTTCGTGCGTAGGGCGTACAGGGGATTTTGATCATGGTTTGTGGATGATGATGATATGATTGGACCGCCTAGTTTCGTGTCGAGGTAGAATTCAGCCAAGGGACGATCGGCGAGGAGGAATGCCGAGAGCCAGATCTGGGCTGGGGTGTAGAGGAAGTAGGCGTCTGTGATTTGGGCGGCGGCTTTGAGGATCTCGCGGGTGGAGTGGTGAGCGCGGGAGATGCGGTCGTTCATGGTGTTTGCGGTGGCGGAGGAAGGGGAGAGGGAGAGGAGAGCCCTGCGGAGGTCTTCTGGTGTTTGGGAGGGTTGGAGGTGTGGTGCTGGTTGGCCTTGGCCTTGGGATATGGCGCGGAGTTCCATGATGCCGCCTTCTAGGCCGCGAAAGGGGTGGCGCACGTCGAAAGTGAAGCGGAGGCTTTGCATGACGAGGAATTCTGGGGCGATGATGTCGTCGGCGGAGGTTTGGCCGGGGACGCCTTCGGCGAATTGTCGTAGGGAGAGGTAGTAGTTGTCGGTTTTGGTGGCGAGGAAGAGGGCGCACGGCATGATTTGTTTCGGGTGGTAGGTCATCGGGGAGTTGGTGAGGTAGAAGCGACGGAGGTATTGGATTGCGGTGGCCTTTGGGGTTGGGTTGGGTATGTTAGTATTATTGGGAGGAGGGGATATTTGAGGGACTGGGATATGGGGGGAGCTCGTACTCTCACGATGGTGGGAAGTGGTGGTTTGTAGTTCTCTCCTAGTTGTATGATTTGTTCGGAGTAGTAGTCCACCACTTGCTGCTCTTCTTCGGGTGTCAAGCACTCAATCTGCTTGTCTTCTGCTGCTTTATTTTCCGCATCGCTTCCCGGGGCTGGTGTCCCTGTTGTGGAGGAGGTGGCTGATCTTCGCGCGTCTTGTGCCCTTCGTAGAGCTGCTCGCACTCGGTCACTCGCAACGGAGTTGGTGGTTGCTCGTAATTGCTTCAGTGATGCTTCGGTGAAGGACCACAGTCGGAACTGGGAGGATGATCGGTATATTTCGTCTTCGATCATGTTGGTGGACAGCTATATAGCGAGTTCGCTGTCGCGATAGGTGTAGCTAAGGATTGGAAGTGCTTGTTGCGCGAGGATTCTGGGGACGGCGGAAAGTCAGAGCTGATCTGCAGCGGACTTTGCCGCATATCCACGTGCTTATCGATAGGCCCGCTGCCTTTACTTCCGTCCATTACTAGACCTCCACTGCAGTTTGCTGATTGCCTGGATCATATAAAAGAGATGGCATTTAATTTGAAAGCACTATAACTTCAGTCATACAGGTATTGATTGAGTTAATGCAAGGCTAATCGTATCCTGACTTGAGCTATGCTGCCGAAAAATGTAGAAAGCGAATGGATATATTAAACATGGATCATCACAGCCTGGGTTCTGACTTGGGAGAAGAGAAATGAAATTGTCTTGGTCATGTTTGTGCGAAGAGGACTCAAGATTCGAGAGAGCAAACCCGACTGAATCGCCTAGCACCGTCGCTATTGCAAAATCTAAACCATCCGAACCGTCTGTCACATCACACCAACTACGGCTCACCAAGGAGCCGCGCCGTAATGTCTCCCATGTACGCCTCCTCCAGCTCGTAATCTTCCCCGTCCATTCGATCAATGCCATAGTATTTAAATGCGGCTACAACGCGGTCAACGTCAAATCCCATGTTACAAAATCGGTCGATCAAGTCTTTGTTGTAGCCGTCGTATCTGCACAGAAAGGTTAGCCAGAGCATGTTTAATCCGACACACAGGTACATACTTGCTTAAATCCTCTTGTTCCTGCTCTTCTTTCGACTTGATCTCCTGCAGCCGAAGCGTTTCGTCTGTCACACCGCCACTGCCTTCACCTGCATGCCTTTTGGGAGCTCCTGCATACATCACAGCCCACTCCTGAGCAACCCGTGCAAATTCCTGCGGTCTCCGAAGGAGCATCGTGGCGACCTCGGCATCTTGAGGATCTTTGGGTTCGGGTGTGCTTAGCAAGGATTGCAGTGACAGAAGGGCAGACTTGATGGTGAGCACCGGCGACCACGCAGTAGAAAGAGTGTCTAGGCAGATGGCACCCTAGGCGATTGATTTTATTAGTAAACCTGAAGACAACAAAACCTTACATGACTAGAGGAGACTCACTGTTTGACTGCTGACGTTAGGATGCCAGACCTTGGTCACAAACTTCATATGGGGAGGTCGAAATGGATAATCGTTGGGGATTTTAATGTCGATGGTATAGGTGCCACCTTCGTAGGGTGTTCCTGGAGGCCCTGGGAACGTGCCTCGAAGGTGCGTGAGATCCTCACCACCGTTCAGTGGCTCAGCCGTGATTTGCGACTGTGTGTCGGCGTGAATGTCGGCGATCTCTTTGGCGATACGCCTCGCACGATTGCCAGACATCGTAAGGAACAATCTCGGGAAAACGGGTAGCTTGTGTTATTTTTATTTCTTTTCTGAAGATGCGAAGAAAGTAGGCTTGGATTGTCTGGACAGTCGAAGGATAAGAATAGAAAAGATCTAAGAACTATGAGGCAATAGTCAAAGCTTCGTCAGCCTCACAGTAGCTAACTACCGAGAGGGGGATGAAGTGCAGCAGGTCTGTAGCAGGGAAGCTGAGGAAAAGAAGGAAATATTGGAGCAGGTGCAATCAATACAAGCGCTGGAGACCAACGACTGATCTGTAACAGCGGGTCACCTAATCTGGTGGGAGTGGACTAGAGAGGATTGTTGTAGTATGGGCGAAAGTGAGGGGATCAATGCTCTCGGCGGGGCGCAAGTAAGCGCTCTATCACGGAAGAGCGCTAAACAATCAAACAAGATTAGATCACAGGAACTTGGTCGAGCCTTGACACGGGGATGGGTTCGGATAGAATATATATGAATGACAGCGGAAATATATATTCCGGACTGACAAAAAGGAACAAGTTGTCGAAGCAATATAGGGGAAATGACCCGTCGGGCTACCTGGACGGTTCGGCGTAGAGCTGAGCTGCCAGTACATTTTGTACAGATCGGGCCCAGCTCGGTTGGCGCCAGGCTACTTTTGGCTTCTGGGCGGAGGATCCCAAGAGGGGCTTGCGGGAGATGCCTCAGGGATCGGCCCATCGTCACCTCAGGCATTAAGGCATGTAATCTGTGCCGGTTGATGTCACGTGCTTCCAAATGTGCTGGACGGGCGCCAAGGCCCGAGCGGATGGCGACCAACAGCTTCCCAGCTGCGCAACGCATCAGCTTCACGTCCCCATCCTCCTTCCACCCATCCCCCATCTCTTCACCCCATCCACGCACATCGCGAATTCCTTCATTACATTCCTCAGACCCCTGCATAGGTTGTCTATAAGAAGCCTACTGCTTCTCACAGTTTCGGACTATGGTTGGTGCCCGGCGTTGGCCCTTGTTGACAGCTCTTGTCGGCTCCTGATGTCACTTATCTGACCAATCTTCACCACAGGGTAACCAGCAGTCCAACATCGGCGGAGGCCCCGGTGGCGATGGAAGAGATGAGAAGGACAAGAAGGTATGCTATACTCCCCATGATCTTCCCATCAGGTGGCAGCCGGCTTAAGTAACGCTTCTCTGCAGAAGGACAAGCCCAGATACGAGCCACCACCGCCGCCTACGACTCGTCTCGGACGTAAGAAGCGCAAGGCTGCCGGCCCCAGTACTGCCTCAAAGCTTCCAGACATCTTCCCAACGTCACGATGTAAATTACGATACCTCCGAATGCAACGAGTCCACGACCATTTGTTGCTAGAGGAAGAGTACGTGGAGAATATGGAGCGCCTGCGCAAGACCAAGGCCCAGGCTGCGCTGGATTCGGCGAACCGTAATGATCTCGACATCATGGATCGGAATGCCGATGAGAGAAGCCGGGTTGATGATATGAGAGGCAGCCCCATGGGTGTCGGAAACCTGGAAGAGCTGATTGACGATGACCACGCCATTGTCTCGAGCGCGACTGGACCGGAATACTATGTTTCGATCATGTCATTCGTCGACAAAGACCTTCTCGAGCCTGGTGCTAGCATTCTTCTACACCACAAGTCGGTCTCGGTTGTCGGTGTGCTCACCGAAGAATCCGACCCCCTCGTATCAGTGATGAAGCTCGACAAAGCTCCTACAGAATCATATGCCGATATTGGTGGTCTGGAAACCCAGATCCAGGAAGTCCGGGAGTC